TCCATCGAATCAAAATTTCTTATCTAAAATAATTCAATTATTATTATTAATTATATTCAAAATGATTGTTCAATCTGCTCTTTTACTAAAGAAATTCACCACTAGATATTTTGAAGCGGGAAATCACAAAAAAAAAAAAAGAGAAGAAGAGATGAGCATAACATGAAGAGAAAAACAAGGAAGAGGAGTAGAAAACCAACCATGGAAGAAGAAGAAAGAAAAAGCATGATAAAGAAAAATGAAATAATTCGTCATTCAAGATTTTCAAAGCTCAAAATTTAAAATTTAATTCACCGTAAATGTGAATGATTTTGAGTGAATTAAACATTAAAAGACTAAAAATATAAAGATCGACTTATATTTAAATTTTGGTGTTGTTTAGAGAAGATTTAAATTATTCCAAATTGATAAAAATTAACTCACCGAGAATGATGAACCGTTACAATGTATAGATAATGTATATAAATGTACATAAATCTCTCATATATATATAATTCTATGATTATACACTATTTATGTAATACTGATGCATTACATTTTATATGCAATCATTTTAGTTGAATGTTTTATTGCCTGTACTAAAAAGCCCATAGATGGAGAACAAGTAATTTAGTTATTCTTTACGTCAATAGAATAATAACACCCAAAAGATGATACCTCCACAAGTTCAAATACTCTCAAACATTTATCGGGATCAAAATGATAAAAGGTCCACATGACTGGAGCATACAAACAATATAGACCTCAATGATACCCCGACCCACATGCAATACACCTTTAATGCAACCATTGGACTCGTCATATGCAAAGAGATAATAAAGGAAGATGACATGCACACTGGGGTCATCTAAGATGTTTTTACATGCAAGATCACAACTAGGTTCAACGATCCTATCATTAATTGCATCATAAGTTGGAACACATAAATGCATCATGGAAAATTTAAGACGAACTTCACATTCGCTTGACAAGTAACTCTTTCCATTATAAGATGCACCATCAACCAGATCATACTCAAAGTGATAGTACAAAATATGGTTTAGAAAATTACCGTTTTCCGTACATAGTGTAGGCCCCTCAAATGAATGGTAAAATCTCAAGAAGAGTTTTCCTTCATAGGGAAAGGTATCAACAAATTCATTCAAATTATGCTTGTCATTTCGACCAAGCATCACTACACAAGTGTCACAATTCAATTCATTATCGGGGTTAAATGAAAAGTATGTCCTTTGTCCAAGTACACCCCTTTTTGTCTGATTGACGCTCGTACTCTCTAAAAATATATTTCATTCAAATGTGTGAGTATCATCATATGTAAAAAAGTAATAGAAAGACATCACTAAATAACCTTCAATCAAGGTGTTCTCAAGTTTAGCCTTCACTTTAGATACTAGAGAGTCACAACTTATACGAAGCATTAAAACACATAAGGAATAAGTAACAATTAACACATATGCAGCATCATCATCTTAACACTACCCTTCCTAATAAATGTACTATCATCTTCACAGAAGATATTTCCACCTTTAAGAAATGTGTCTGTAATCATTTAAAATTTATTAAATATAAATTTATAAAATAATTCGGATTATATTGAATTCTTAAATATGTTAATCCAAATAAATATTGTGAATTGATATAATTGAGTTAAATATTTAAGTCTAATAAATATGGATTTAATTAAAGTCTAAATTAATTGATTTGGACTACATTGGATGAACCCAATTTGTTAAAACCAATGTCATCTCATTCTAGAGCCGATCTTGGCGCCACGTGTGCAGATGATGTGGCATGTCAAGTCAAATAAGAAAACCAATAGAATCATGACATGTGCCAAAGATGACAAGCCCGCTCCATAAAGCCCAAATGCCATGTCACTTAAATCTGATTGGCTGAACGTAATCCTAATCCAATTGCCAACTCCTCTATTCTGAAACTATAAATAGGGGTCCTCATAACTCAGAAAAGAGACAGAAAATTCTAAACAAGAAGCTAGAGAAACTCCGTGGTACAAACGCCATTTAATTCTCTACAAAGCTACAAGTTTAAGAATTCAAGCATTCAAGTTCAAGAACGATCAAGATCACCGAATTCAAGAAAAAGCTCGAAGCCCTTGAATTCACATAAAAGTCAAGATCAAGATAAAGTTCAAGTTCAAGTTCATCATAGATTCAAGAACAAGCTTTAAAGCCCTTGAATTTATATTTGAAAAGGCGAATTCAGAGGAATTATAGAGATTGTAACACTCACATTTGAAATAATAAAATTGATTGTTGCTATAATTTTTCGTTCTTTATTATTGTTTTTTCGACACGAATTTTATTGTCTACAATGTCATTATACCACAATGGATTCCCAAACAATTTAGGAACAATTATGAGATTCCTACTCAATTTCATATTCATATATATGTTTTATTGCCCAAACCAAAAATACATTATAATTCAATTAGGAATTGTAATCCTACTCAATTTCATATTCATATATATGTTTTATTGCCCAAGCCAAAAAGAAATTATAATTGAACTAGGAGAAGGATTTTGTCCCACCACATGACATCTATAAATAGATACATTGTCTCTACAATTTTATCTTCAATTACAGATTGTGAGCCTACGACGAAAAGGGCATACTCAAGGTAATTTTCCTCCTTTTTTTATTGTTTTTCGTCATTTTTTTACAGCTTGACATGTTTGTGGTAAAAAATTCATATCTCATTGTAAAAAAATTGAAATCATGAACCGTTTAATTTTTCATAAACTAGACATTTCGATCTCTAGTATACCCGAAATTCAAAATTTAATACATTCAGAATCTTTCTAGATGATTTTTTGAAGTTAGCTCTAGATTCTGTCATGCTAAAAATTCGTCACTTTTTTTACAGCTTGACATGTTCGTCGTAGAAAATTCATATCTCATTGTAGAAAAATCAAAATCATGAACCATTTGATTTTTCAGAAACAAGACTTTTTGATATCTAACATATCCAAAATTCAAAATTTAATTCCTTCAGAATCTTTCTAGATGATTTTTTGAAGTTAGCTCTAGATTCTGTCATGCTAAAGATTCATCACTTTTTTTACAGCCTGACATGTTCGTCGTAGAAAATTCATATTTCATTGTAGAAAAATTAAAATCATAAACCGTTTGATATTTTAGAAAGTAGACTTTTTGATCTCTTACATATCCAAAATTCAAAAATTAATACCTTAAGAATCTTTTTATATGATTTTTCGAAATTATCTCTAGATTCTGCCATGCTAAAAATATCAGATTTTTGTGACTTACAAAAATCTCGTGTCTTGACGTAGGAACAATGAAATCACAATCTACTTGATGATTCCGAATCTAGACATAAAGGTATATAACACATCCAAGATTCAAGATTTAATACCTTCCGAGTCTCAAACATCTTGACGGGTAACAATCTCTCCTTCACTTGTATTTTTCTCCTCTTTTTTTTTGTAGATCAACAAAAGAAATTTTATATTTTACAGAGGCTACATAATGGAAGGATTTATCACATAAAAATGTATTTAACTTCCATGTCTTAACAAAATAAATAAATAATACTCTCAAGGTATTCCATGGCCCCAAATTCTTAATCGATTTGAAATTTTACTAGAATGTCGTGTAACGCTCCCGCCTTGAAAATAAACTCAAGGTGTTACAAGTCCCGAGTTTTTAACCATGAAGCTTTACTAGAATACCGTGTAACGCTCCCACCTCAAAAATAAACTCAAGGTGTTAAAAGTCCGAAATGCTTAACCAACTTGAAACTTTTATAGGATCCTGTGTAACGCTCCCGCCTTGAAAATAAAGTCAAGGTTTTACAAGGTCCTGAATGCTTAACCAACTTGAGACAGGATAAACCCGTGAAAAGACAAGTTTAAGGTGCAAAGGGACAAATATTGTCCTCCTTAAGGCATGAAAATTTAAAGATCCTTTTAAAGATAAATCCGTGGGAACTCTAGCTTAAGGTGCAAAGGGACAAGTTTGTCCACCTTAAGACTTAGAAATTTAAAGATTCGTTGAAGGATAAATTCACAACAAAGCTAGATTAAGGTGCAAAGGGACAAATATCGTCCACCTTAAGGCATGAAAAATTTAAAAATCCTTTTAAATATACACCAGTGAAAAGGTCAACTCAAGGTGTAAAGGGACAAATATTGTCCACCTTAAGACATGAAAATTTAAAAAGATTCTTTTAAGTATACACCCGTGAAAATGCCTAGCTTAAGGGGCAAAGGGACAAACCCCGCGCACCTTTAGGCATGGAATTCAATTACATATGCGTTTGGGGACTTCTACTTACATACTTGAAGTCTTACCTTCATACTTAGAGGATTTGAATACTTCAACCTGTATACTTAGAGAATTTGATACTTCAAATAATAAACTCGAAGAATATAAAGACTTCAATTTGCATACTTGATCTAATTTAAAGACTTCCACCGTACTAATAAGAGATTCATATTTTATATGGGTTTCCCCTTCCATAGACCCATCAATACTTCGTACAAGTCTAAAGTTTGATGAGACAAAAGATAAAATACATATCGCTTTGACTTTTCTTTGAATTTAAGTGGGAACATTTTTTATTTTTGACACTTATGCAACTGAACTTAGAATATGGTTCTAAGCTCCTACGTACCTCAATAAAAAGGATCAAGTCACAACGTAGTTTTGGGGATTTGAGTGATGGTTTTTGGTTGTGCCTTACACAGTTTATACTCTTGCGGGCCAGGAGTGACATGCATTTTAGGATCGTACCTTAAGGAGTATCATCTTACTTCAAGGATAGTATATCTTTAGAAATTTGACATTAATAGGACCGATCCTTAAGGTATCAGCATCAACAATCTTGTAAGCATCATTTGAATATGCTTCTTGTACGAAATATGGTCCATCCCACTTTGAGATAAATTTGCCCCCAGACTTGTGCGAAGTAATGATTGGTCTTCTTACCACGAAAACTTGATCTCCAACTTGAAAGCACCTCAAGTGAACATTCTTATTAAAAGCACGAGATAGACGAGCTTGATAACATTCAAGGTTTTGTTGGCTTCTAACCTCTTTTCATCAAGTGCTTCTAACTTAGCAAGACGCAATCGAGTATTTTCTTCCTCAGTGAGCCCTTCTTGAATAGCAAGTCTTAAGGAGGGTATTTGACGCTCGAGTGGCAGGACTGCTTCAACTTTAAAAGCAAGTGAATATGGTGTTGCTTGAGTTGGTGTGCAATATGTTGTCCTATATGCCAACAAAGCTTCTTCCATTCTTTCATGCCAATCCCGTTTGGATTTGGAAATAACTTTCTTGAGCAGGTTGCATAGAGTCTTATTGAATGCTTCAGCAAGACCATTAGCGGCAACTTGGTACATAGAAGATTTACGCTGCTTAAAGTCAAAAAGATCACAAATCTTGTTCATTAACTTGTTATCAAATGGTTTTCCATTGTCTGTTATTATATAGCGAGGGATGCAAAAGTGATAGATAATATTTACTCGGATAAAATTTGCAACATTCTCTTTCTTCATCTCTTTAAAAGCGACAGCTTCAGCCCATTTTGAAAAGTAATCAGTTGCAGCCAAGATGTACAAGTGTCCACCAGAAGACTTTGGTAATGGTCCTATAACATCCAGTCCCCAAGCGTCAAATGGCCAAGATGCGATGGTTGGGTGCAATAATTTAGGTGGCTGATGAATGAAATTCGCATGAAATTGACAAGCATCACATTTCCTGGCGTAATATATGCAATCTTTCACCATGGTTGGCCAGTAATACCCCATTCTCTTTATGTGAAAGTGAAGTTTTGGTCCAGATTGATGTGATCCACATACTTCTGAGTGTGCTTCTTGCAGAGCTTGAATCACTTCTTCCTCTCCCAAACATCATAATAACATACCCTCAAATGATCTTCTATATAATGTATCCTTGTAATGAAGGAAATGAGGTACACGACGACGTACATCAGTTCTTCTTCTTGGATTTTCTGGAAGTATCCCATAACATAGGTAGTCAATGATGGGTTGTATCCAATCTTCCTTCGCAGCTTCAACAATGGTGACGATATGATCAAGCTTATTTTCAATATATTCTTCCTCATTTAACGGTGATACTATCCATTTTTGACAGACAGTTACTTGTGTTTGATCAGGAAGGGTTAGCATTGAAGCTAGAGTAGCCAATGCATCGGCTTTCTTATTCTCTGTTCGACGCGCATGTTGAAGGGTTACATCCCCAAGCCATCTTATCAACTTTTGAGCATAATCATGATAAGGGCGCAATTCAAGCTTTTTTACCTCATAACTTCTTAAGAGTTGATTAATCACCAATTGAGAGTCACCAAAGATCTGTAAATGTAATTGTTTCATGTCAACGGCCATTTCAAGTCCAAGTATCAGTGCTTGATATTCAACGACATTATTGGAGAAACATTGTTTTAGAGTAAAAGAGAATGGTAGAATCTCTTTTTGTGAAGTGATGAACAACACGCCAGCACCAGCTCCGTCACGATGTGTAGCCCCATCAAAGTACATTTTCCAAGGAGGTTGAACTTCAATCAACATCACATCTTCATCAGGGAACTCATCAGTTAACTCCCAATCATTTGGTATAGGATGGTCTGCCAAGAAATCCGCTAGTGCTTGTCCCTTCACGGATTTTTGAGGGATGTACACTATCTCAAATTGTTGGAATTGAAGGTACCATCTTGCTAGTCGGTCACTAAGGACAGGTTTTGACATAACAAACTTGATGGAATTTGCTTTAGAAATAAGGCGGACAACATGAGCTTGAAAATAATGCTTCATCTTTTGAATTGAGAAGACCAGTGCCAAGCATAACTTTTCAATTGGCAAATAATTTAGCTAATTTGGCGTCATTGTTCTACTTATGTAATAAAGAGCATTTTCTTTGCCTTCACTATTCTCTTGAGCTAACAGGGTTCCTACAGACCTTTCTTGTGCTGAAATGTAGAGTATCAATGGTTTTCCAGGTATAGGGGCTGCCGAAATTGAAGGTTTCGCTAGATACGATTTGATACTTTTAAAGGCTTCGCTACATGTTTGATCCCAATTAAAAGCATCACCTTTCTTCATGAGATGACTGAATGGTTGACATCTCCCCGCTAGATTTGAGATGAACCTTCTCAAGTAGGCTAACTTTCCTTGGAGACTTTTTAACTCATAAATATCTCGAGGTTCAGGCATATTTGATATTGAATCAACTTTGGCTTGATCAATTTCAATTCCTCGATGTCTCACAATAAAGCCAAGGAACTTGCCGAAAGTAACTCCGAAGGCACATTTCAATGGATTCATCCTTAATTGATATCTTCGGTGTAACTCAAACACCATCCTTAAGTCTTTCAAATGATCACCCCTCTTCCTCGACTTTACTACCAAATCATCAACATAACATTCGACATTTTTATGGAGCAAGTCGTCAAAGATATTTTGCATAGCCCTTTGATAAGTGGCGCCAACATTCTTTAAACCAAATGGCAGCACTTTGTAGCAATAAATACCTTTTAACGTGCGAAATGCAGTGAGTTCTTTATCTTTTGGTGACATACGGATTTGATTATATCCAGAAGAACCATCCATGAACGACATTGCCTCATAACTAGTGGTGGCATTAATCATCAACTCTGGAATGAGAAGAGGAAATTCATCTTTAGGGCATGCATTATTGAGATCTCTAAAGTCAACGCAAACTTGAATTTGACCATTCTTCTTCCTCACATGAACAATACTTGAAATCCATATAGGATATTTGACCTCATGAATAAAGCCTGCCTCAATGAGTTTGTTAACTTCATTTTCTATCAACGGAATCAAGTCTGGTCTAAAACAACTTTGAGCTTGTTTAACAGGAGGAGAACCTTTTTTGACTGCCAATTGATGGACTGCTACTCTAGGATTCAATCCAGGCATTTCTTTATAACTCCAAGCGAAGACATCTCTATATTCTTTGAGTATATTGATGTAAGCGACTTCTTCATCACTTTCTAGAAACGCACTCAAGAAAGTTGGCTTCAGGTCTTCATCAGTGCCAAGGTTAACTTCCTTTAAAGGATCTATTATGATCTTTACTCCTTCTTCAAGTTCTGGTGGAGCATCTTTAGCATCTACCTCTTCCACAGGATCATTGTCATTGACCGATATATGACAACACGAGACAATATCTTCTACCTCTTACTCAATCTTCTTTTAAGGCAAAGAATCGTATTCATTTTGGATTGTAACATGATTTGAGGAACCTACACTTTCTTCATATTCCTTGCGCTCTTTGATGTAAACCACAGTATGAACCTTTGCCTTGAGTTCCTCTTTACAGGAAACCACAAGTTCCACTCGTCTCCTCATCCTAGAAGGAATCAAACTTCTGAAATCCTTTTGAATCAAATGTGAAGTAGGTGTTGTAACTTTTAAATAACTTTTCAGGTTCTTATTATTCTTATATAGAGGACCTAACCTCTCAAACACAGAAATTCTTGTTGTCGTTTCACCAAGTCGATCAAAGACGGAAGGTCTTTCATTGGGAGCACTGACATCATCTTCAAAAGTTATATTATTATTACTGGCCCTTCTTATGGAAATGTGAATTGGCGGCAGTTGGCTATAACCTAGGCCTTCACGCGCTTTCCTAGTTGTATCTTCTGACGGGAGTTTCCCTAGCGCTGATGGATCACTAGGGTTGTATCCTGCCTTCACAAATAACTTGTAGGCATTGGGATCAAAACCTTCTCTTGTGCGTTTTGTAGGGAGATCCATATCTAGCACTTGATCTTGAGCGACTGACTTTTCTGGCAACTTTGAAGACAAATTTATTGCATCAATTTGTCTGATAGGAAGAGTTAGCCCTCTTAATGCATTTTCTTCAAGGTTAGATGATTGATCTTGTTCTTTCTTTGCTTTTGGAACATAGCAAAGCCTAGAAGTCTGCTTCTTCTTTAAAGATAGGATCTTCCCTTCATTAAGAATGGGACAAGAGTCTTTAGTGTGAATTTTCACCTTTTCGATAGCCGCATCAATTCTTTTGCTTATGATCTTATCAATTTTGATTGATTTGACGTCATTAGAGTCGACCCCTTTAATAACATAACTTCTCAAATAGAATTTCGTATCCGCAAAGTGTGTCTCCACTTCGGTGAAAGAATTATCATCTGCAACTATCTTTCTTTCAATTCCACCTTCAAGATATTTCAAACATTGATAGTAAGAAGATGAGACAATTCTATTCCATGCGCTTGATCACAAATCTCCCATGTGGATCTCTAATTTAATAGAGCCTATGGATCTACCCGCCTTGATTAAATCCTTGTATCAACAGACGACTTTCACTAAGTGCCCCAGTCGTGATGCCAAGTTCCTTCAATGTGTGGATAGGCAAAATGTTGACTCCAGATCATTCATCTATAAGATTCTATTTATCTTCTTCTCTAGTACATGACCCACCATATACAAAGGACGATTGTGTAGTGTTTCACCAAATAGAAGATCGTTATCTGTAAATGTTATTTTAGAATCACAGACATGTGCTTCTTGAGAAGAAAGTTCAATAGATTTTTCAGAAGATGAAAGAGACATCATTTCTGAGATTTCTTGTTCTTCTTCCCCAGGAGACACTTTTGGTGAGGATTCACTCGTTGTTCCTTCTTTTACAGTAGGAGGCACCTTCATTGTTTGTTCTTTATCCACATTGAAACATAATCCCTCGACATTGCCTTGAGTAGACTTTGTGTCGAATGAGCTTGGCAAGAATTCCTCTAGAGTCACAAGACGTCGAGGTTTTTGGTAGTGTTGCACTTCAACCTTTGCCCTTTTGGGATGCTTGATTGATTTTTGCTTCTCTGATTTCTTCACCATTTTTCCTCTAACCGATTGCTCAAATAATTCTTTTCGTAAGCTTGACTTGTTGTGTCTTTACTTAGTTACAAGAATCCAACCCTCATCACCATCTATGTCAACGTTCTGGTCTACTGGCTCTTCTTCATGCTTTTCAGAGATATATATTTGGACCGGATCCAGTGATCCAAACGTGATAGAGGTATGTTAGAACTAGCCTTCTCATCATCAAGGATAATTTTATTTTCGTTAGCCAATCGCATCACTTTATCCTTAAAGACAAAACATTTTTTAAGAGGATGACTCACAAGTCTTTGATACTTGCAATAATTTGGGTCATCAGTTTTTCCAGCTTCATCGGGTCGCTTCATCTCTGGAAATTCAATGAGCTTTAACTCAAGCAATTCGTCAAAAATTTGAGAAACGTCAGAATCCAAGAAGGGATACTTTTTTCCTTGCATCTCCCTTAGCGTCGACTTTTGATTTGAGCGTGCTTGGAAAGTCTTTCTCACATTCTGTTTTACGCCCTCATTCGTGGTGAACTTTGTCGGTGACAACCTTGCTTCTTGTAACAGCTCCAAAACTTCCAAAGGTAACACCAAGGATGTCTTCAACTTCAGTAGAGAATTTGGAGCTAGTGACCTTAGAGGCGGTTTATCGAGAGTTGTTTTTCATGGAAGTCATCTTGATATTCTTTGACGTTTGAAAAGTTGAGATGAGAGGAAGTGATTGTCCCACTGGGCGTGCCAAAATTTGTAGACAATAAAATTCGCGTCGACAAAACAATAATCAAGAACGAAAAATTATAGCAATAATCAATTTTATTATTTAAAATGTGAGTGTTACAATCTCTGTAATTCCTCTGAATTCGCCTTTTACAATATAAATTCAAGGGCTTTATAGCTTGTTCTTGAATCTATGATGAATTTGAACTTGAACTTTATCTTGATCTTGACTTTTATTTGAATTCAAGGGCTTTGAGATTGTTCTTGAATTCGGTGATCTTGATCTTGATTGTTCTTGAACTTGAATGCTTGAATTCTTAAACTTGTAGCTTTGTAGAGAATTAAATGACGTTTGAACCACGAAATTTCTCTAGCTTCTTGTTTAGAATTTTCTGTCTCTTTTCTAAATTATGAGGACCCCTATTTATAGTTTTAGAATAGAGGAGTTGCGATTGAATAAGATTCCGTTCAGCCAATCAGATTTAAGTGACATGACATTTGGGCTTTATGGAGCGAGCTTGTCATCTTTGACACATGTCATGATTCTATTGGTTTTCTTATTTGACTTGGCATGCCACATCATCTGCACACATGGCGCCAAGATGGGCTCTAGAATGAGATGAGATTGGGTTTAACAAATTGGGTTCATCTAATGTAGGCCAAATAAATTAATTTAGACGGATCTCGACAGATTCGTCCATATTTCTGCCATTTTTATGAATATGTAATTAAAAATCTGCAGTCTTGTTTTAAGCATGAAGTGTTGTTATTCCTGTTTGTTTTAAGAAAGTAATTGATATTGACTAAATTTATTCGTGATTCACCTGCGCTCACTATTGGTTTTGAGGGCCACTAATTTCTTTCGTAAGTTTGTCTTAAATCTGACCGAAAACATCTAAAGTATCTCATAATTCTAATTGTTCATAGATTCTGCATACCGCTTTTTCATTTTTGATTATGAATTTGATTAATAAGTATTTGTAACAGTTAGCATGCTACAGTGAGTGTCATGGTACATACTAAATTTTGATTAGTGATTGACTTCTCTAATCGTGGTAGACTTTAAATTGATTTATTTCCTTAGTTAGCTTGATTAAATAGTGGGTTTTTTATTCAATTTGTATTCAATTGGTGATTTATGATTATTAGTGGTCTATTCGCTCTATTGGGATATTACAAGGTAAATATTGCAAGAAATTAAGGTCGTTGCATAATATTGCTCCAAATTATATATGT